CCCACTTAACGACCTAATGAATCAATGATATAATCAACTATTTTATACCAGATTAAAGCCCATCAAAAACTGCGTCTAAGGGTGTAATTAGAGTAAATAGTAGCTAGGCAATTATCAAAGATAAAGTTGAAGAACTAATGGCAAGTGAAGATCGTCAAGACAGATACAATTATGATATTCTCACAACTAACGTTGAGAATACACTCAAGGATCTCGAAAATGATACAGATCTTTTTATTGATTTGCTGTGTTCAATGAGGAAAAGATTTGATGCTCTCAAAGCTGCTGGAGGAGGACATACAAATTTCTGAACTTTGCCATAAACGCTTATTTGTGAGCATTTTATATTGCTAATAAATTGGAAACTCTATGGTCCACAATTTGATTCGGTGAGTGGTACGATAGTTCTTTCCTAGACTCGAGATTGTATAATTTGCGACATTTTGATATGTGGTCCAAGGTATTTTGATAATTGCCTAGCTACTATTTACTCTAATTACACCCTTAGACGCAGTTTTTGATGGGCTTTAATCTGGTATAAAATAGTTGATTATATCATTGATTCATTAGGTCGTTAAGTGGGAGGGGGGGGGGGGGCGTAGCGGTTTTTTAACACCCTGTATATTCGTTTCCTNTCCTTACTCTCTCTTCACTTTGTATTACGCGGCATCAGTGGTTTGATATGCCTTTTTGATGTAAATAATATGGTTGTATGTTAGTTGTAGTTGTGGGGGGGGGGGGGGGGGGGGGGGGGGGGGGGCGTAGCGGTTTTTTAACACCCTGTATATTCGTTTCCTTAAATGATTTATTCTAGTGTTAGGTGCCGAGTTGAATGGTGTGTATTGGGCAATAATTACCTATAATGTGGTTTGAAACAATCCATTATTTTTGATAGTTAATTGAATCGATGAAGAACATTGACGTTGGCGGCTGTTTACTAATAAATAAGATGGAAAACAATGATCAGATATCAAACCGTTTACAGCTGTCGTATGATATGTCTTTCAGTGTTATCGGAGCGTTGTTTATTGGCACCGTATCTTTATCGTAGTCGTAAACGACAACTTTTTACGATCGTTATTTATAATGGTTATAATACACTGTAAAACATTGTTTATGAGTGCTGTAAACCATCACCGTAGACAGTTGTCGGTTTTCGCTGTAATTAATTGATATACGGACGTGCATGACCGTGGGTGTTTGACCTGAATATATTTTGACATCGGTGAAAAAAATGTTGAGCAAACGAGTATGTTTTTTGTTTGTCTAAAGTGAACACTGGAACCATTGTAGAAACTTATTAAGGAATTCTTCATGCTGTTTTAATTAAGGTTAACAAATCATGTGAAAATGGCGTTACTTTAAATCTTTTGAAAGGATATTTTCCCAATGCAGTACTGAGAAATACCCCAGCAACTGTGTGATACGATCGATATTTTCACAAAGTTTATGGCTTTGACACAGAATGCAATATTTCATAATATTTCATGCCGTAATTGTTTTTCGGATGTGAGCTGAAGTCTTACTATATACAATAGAACTTATTCTACACTTTTTTGGCAGATGTAGCAAGAATCTGAACGCTTGACGTAGAACAATTTGACTGGTAAATAGAGTGAGATAAGTCGCGCATCACAATCTCGTAGGGGTTAGTAAAGTTTCAGTTATTCAGTAATGAAGAACATTGACAATCTTTAGTTTTCGTTAATCGACAGATACCATATAACTAAATTTCGTTACGAATTAAAATTGATTCAATGTAGTGAGTATGTGGGGTGTGGATGTGAGGATATCGATACCCACACGCACATCTACACCATCACACCCGCACCCACAGCCCATACCCATCTTCATCCACACCCACACACCCACATCCTCTTGTCTTCATTTTCGCCGATACGCACATCGAACCATTAAAAACAAACATCATATTATGATTTGGAGAGATTTAAAAAAGACTGATTCGTGCGTCTAAACTGAAGAGATAATGTTGAATAATATTCGTCAAATTCGATCGTATGAATGCAAGCTTTATAATGATATTTATCATCTGAAAAAAAAATTTCCTTCAATTTAATCATTACTAAAGTTATATGAATTTCGTTCTTGTATGAATGTTTGAAGCACCTTGTATAGTTAGTTGTACATTTCGTTATTATTTTAGATAACTGAATTAGAGTTTCATACTGTTTTATGACCTACATGGAGATACTTACAGGTGAACGACGTCATTTTACACCTAATAAGGGTTGTAAACGAGCGTTCTTTCAAATACAGAGTGATTTCCACCAACAGGCATTGAAAGTATATAGTCAACTGAAAACCCACGGTATACATTCATCTAATCGAATGAAATCTGGTGGCTTTCAATATACAGGAGTAGGCGATACTGCTCGATGCGACGTATGTGGCCTTGAAGTGTCTGGATGGATTCGAGAGATGGATCCATTTTATATTCATCTTGAACGTAATCCGAATTGTTCATTTGTTCGTTCTGTACAATCCAAGGACAAGTTAATACTCAACGGCGAAGAAAATTCATCCAAACGACAGATATTGGAATTAGATATCAATCGATCGAACGAACAGAAGAAAATCGCTGAATTAGGTATCCTTAAACAAATACGTCGACGAACATTTTCACATTGGTTAGACGAAACAATACCAACAAAGAAACAAATGATCACTGCTGGATTTTTTCACTGTAATGTTGGAGATCGTGTTATTTGTTTATATTGTAACATCATTTGTCAACAATGGATAGGAAGCATAGATGATCCAGTTGAAGTTCACAAAACTCTGTCGCCAAAATGTTCGTATGTATTGTCAATGCTAACACAACCAAAGTCTTCACCTATTTCGATTGTAAATGAAATTTCAGCAGACAACAGTGGTAATCAAGCAACATCATTGAATAATATCAATCAAGTTCGATTCGATCAAATTGTTCATACATCACCATATCATATTGACTATGCCAGTATTCCATGTCGACAAGCAACTTTTAAAACATGGACCAATGAGTCCTCGCCTTCTGTTGATGATTTAGTTAAAGCAGGATTCTTTTTTACTGGCATAAATAATATTGTGAGATGCTTCTATTGTAACGGATCATTACAGAATTGGAGCGGAAATGATAATCCATTAATTGAGCACATAAGATGGTTTCCACACTGTACATATGCCAAACAATTAAGCGGGAATGAGCTTTACACTAAAGTTCAACAAGCCAAAAGCATTCAACAAGGTTGAACAGGTTTTTTCCGAAAACAATAAAAGACATAAAAATTTTCTTTCATAGGGCTTGAGAGGTCTAATGCTTCGTCAAATCCAATAAATAACTCATCTGTCGCAAACCATCAAAGATTGCAAGTAACTGATGAACGACTATTATCCCGTCTAGTTGCTGCTCGACTCGATCTACCAATCTCACAAAGATTGCTCGATCAAAATTTCAAGTTATCAGTCATAAAACGTTGTTGGGAAGATCAACTTCAATTGAAACGTGAGCGAATGAACATAGAAAAAAATGTATTCATTACAAAATGAATTTGTCTCTATTTATATATTTATTTAGAAGATGATTTTGTCAGCGATTGTGATATATTTATTGCTTGTGTCATTCTTCAAAAACAAATCGAACATATTAATGGAAATAAAGACAATATTATAATACCAAGTGTTAAAATGAAATCAATTCGGGACCAAGAAAAATCTGGTTTGTATAATATAATCTAAAAAATGATCTATCTATATTTAATCCTTCATTAATAGATACGTTAATTCGAGAGCAATTTGACTCACCCTTAGTTCTGATAACTTCAACAAAAGATGCCGTATTTAAAGCAAATGATACATCAGCACAAGTATCATCTATAGTGGAGCAGTTGACCGTAGAAAAAACAAGTGAAGTCGCAAAAACAGAGGAAACGGTTTCAGAAACTAAATTATCAGTAAACAACCCTTGCGTTTTGTGTTGGAAGGAGGAGAAACGTCTGGCTTGCATTCCATGTGGTCATTTAGCAGCTTGTGTTAGTTGTAGTCAAACAATACACATATGCCCTATATGTCGTAGGGATATTGAAGCATTTGTTCGAATATACATCTAAGTAATGCTACTACCGAATTTAACGAAGCTTAGACAATAAATTGCTTATTTATTTTTTAGTAATTTCATATTTCTTACATTCGGCTTTATTTCTCCAATATTATAGTACTGGACTATTGGGAACGAACTCCGAAATTAATCAATCCTTAAACTTTGAATTTTGTAATATTATTGTTGAAAAAAGAACAGTTTTTTTAAATAATTTTTAGTGAAATTTCATGTACTGCTTAAAATAATTCTGTTTTCAGTTTTCGCCCCTAGTGAGCAGGGACTATTTATTTATTTTTAAAAAATTGTACGGCACAAGTGAGGAAAGGAAATATTTTAAAAAGGTAGCATTCATTATTTATTATTTTATTCTTGAATTTCAATCATATTATAAACCCGGAACGTTTTTACTTACTTTTTCTTTTTTTGTGACATTGTTAAATTAATAATTCAGTTAAATGCATGTGATTTCACTATTGAATAATCCAAGACTATCAACTAACTTATTTTTATTTGGAAGAGACTCGAAATAATGTTTTTTCTGAATATCGAGCTACACGTTACGATGATTAGTGAGAGATAAAATGTTTAAAATGAGAAATTTTTCGTAATTATTTACATAGGAGTTCAAGATTTGATGCACCATATGTTTTATATTTTTTAGGAAGTTATTTACAATGTCGAATCAAAGTCTCATTAGTTTATATTCAAATAGAATACAAAATATAGTTATTTAAGCTACAATGATCGTGTATTCCAAAGTTAAATTAGTATATTTGAAGATTTATTTCGAAAAAGGACGTCAAATTCCATCTAACAGAATTCGATCAAATGAATATTGAATGAATCGATGATTATTTAAATCAAAAACATTTTTTATAGATAACATAAAAAGTTATACCCATTTTGAACGTCAATAATACAAATGATATCATTATCACATGCATCAATATACTTGTACTAAACGATGTCGATTTAAGCTTGGAAGAACAAACTTGTCAAACATCCTATTATCGATCTCGTATCAGAAATTACTCAATATCCTAAGAATTGTTCACAATATACTCAAAGCAAAAGTCGATCAACTATCACTTGTATTTTGAGTATAAGCCACTAATTACGTGTCGCTACAAATTAAGTGGATGTACATGGTTTGATCGTTTAACAGTTTAAGAATCAATGGAGATACATGTGATTATCAATTAATTACTTGTTCTGAATGTCTAGAAAAAGTATTAAAAAACCAGTCTAATAAATGTTCGTTGCTCTTACTAAAATGTCCTGAACATAATAGTATTGTTGATCAGTGACGTGATGAAAACAAACATGTCGAAAAAATATGTTTATGTGTGTACAGTATCACCAACTTCGAAATAAAATGATAAATTGAATTGGCTTAAAAGTCACGTGAATGATCTCATTGAAATTATAAAATAATCAAGATAGATGAAAAAGATTCTTTTATTTTTTAATATACAAGTTTATCTTTTTTCTCTTGCACCAAAATTTAGAAACCGTCAATTCAAAATAAATAAAATTTTGAAATTTTTTATTGAAATTAGTTTTTCATCAATTTATTAATTTGAGTAGATCGTATTTATCAATTCTATGTGATGCATATATATTATAGAAAGCAAAAATTAATATTATTTGATTTATTTTATTTTAAGAGAAATGCATGAGTTAAGGGAAAACATGGACGCCGTGATAGAGGCACGAATGGAGTAATAGGATTGGCTAAAAATTTTTCAAGTAGAAATCATTACAGTTAGTGATGATTCACACTAAAATCGTCAGTCTTTCTGATAGCTTGAAATTGATAATAAAATATGTCAAAAAAAAACAGATTAAAAAGAGAAGAAGTGAGAAAATAATTTCAAACTGCATAAGACTGTGACAAAATTGTCTTTTTATTAATTTTTTACCAAATCTCTGGTTAATTTTATTGAAATATTCGTCTTATAGCGAAAAAATTGTCATAATTTCTGAAATTGTTTAGAACTATTGATGAAATATATAGATGCCGGAAATCGTAAGTCTTGAGGGTGAGGGTGGAGATGAATAAGTGCTGCTGGCGTCATTGAGTAAGAATATTTCATATCTACGCTCGTCTTTGAGAAATGAATACTAGAAAAATTCGGTGATCAAAAGTATTTTCACGTTCAGATATAGATACCCTGCCTATTTCAATGTGAATCATTTCTATTTGAAAAATTTGCAGCCAACCCTATTTCTCCGTTCGTGCCTCCATCATGGCGTTCATGTCTTCCCTTAACTCGTGCATTTTCCGTATTAACAACAAGTCTATGAGTCATTGTTAAATAGTATAGAACAGAAGAAAGGCAAACGTAAAGCAGTTTTTTTCTTCTCTTGCGTAATAAAGAGACGTCAAGACTGAATTGTGTAATTACATTTTTCTATATATGCATTTATGTCTTCAAATGCAATTAAAACGCGATGTCTGAATTTGAAGGTTACGGTAAAATAAGCGAAAGTAGTAGTAATTGGACTTTAGAAAAATCTGATAATACAACATTCAAACGAACTTTATGGTGTGTAACAGAAAAAGTTCATGGAGCAAATTTTTGTTTTGTATGTGATAATAATGGTCAACGAATACGATGTGGAAAGCGAACGAGTTTATTATCTGATACAGATGATTTTTTTGGTTACAAACGGCGGTTATTCAATGAAATTATTCCTAAAATTCAACAACTCTATCAATTTGTCAGCAACATATATCCGAATATAGAAAAATTGTATGTATTTGGTGAATTATTTGGTGGTTCTTATCCACATTCAGATGTGCCAAAAGTACCCAATGTAAATGCAATTCAAACTGGTATTTGGTATTGTCCTGATATTGAATTCTATGCATTTGATTTAGCTATTTTCATGAATGAAAAACAAACTTATCTTGATTATGAATTTGCTATAACTGCTTTTCAACATGTGAATCTATTTCATGCTGAACCATTATTTATTGGTAAATATGAAGAAGCTCTTGATTTTAAACTTGGTTTTAATTCGTATATACCAACTAAACTTGGACTTCCACCTCTTCATGAAGCAAATAAAGCTGAAGGTATAGTAATTAAACCAATGCATGAAATTATGATTAAAACAAATAAAGGTTCTCTTATACGTGCTGTTGTTAAAAAGAAAATCGAAGAATTTTCTGAAGATAAATATAATCAAGCACAAAAACAAGTGCTTAAAAATGAAGAATTTTCAAATGTTGATTTATTACGATTTGAAATTGATGCTTTAATTACTGATAATCGTTTAAATAATGCACTTAGTAAAGTTGGACATGTTACTAGAGATGATAAAGAAAAATTAAAAGAATTATTAAATATTTATGTCAATGATGTTATTGAACAATTACATGAAAATGGAAATGAAGATATGTGGTATAATTTATCCCCGAAAGATCGGCATTTATTGACAGAAGAATTAACCTTAAATGGGAAAAAAGCTATTTTAAAATATTTAAAAACAAATAAATATTAAGTTTTTGAAATTTAGAAATGCTCATACCTAGAAATTGTCATATGTAATAACGTGTTAAAAACAATCAGAAGAGTAACTGATATTACATTATGTATAGGTCGACTCAGCAGTAAGACCTATCGAGAGGGAATTGAATTTTTTATTGCACAAAACATCGAACAACGAAAATTTTGTTATGTGTTAGACAGTATTGGTCAAGTCACCAACAGCTCATCATTTTGAACTCGGTTTTTATGATAAATACTGAAGTCTGAAATATATTTACCATAAAAATTTCAAGCCATATGGGTATATCCTTCAAAAGATATGAATGTCACAAAAACAAAACGACAAAATAATATACAATATGCGTTGTTTTGCCGATAGCATTTTTAGAAAAATTTAAATATCTCGAGGACGTAATCGATTCATCGATTGAATTGAATTGGCTGCACCTTAGTCTGCCATTTATTCACTCTTTGATCTGTTTTTCTCTAGCTTCATCTCTTATGTATATGCCCATGTTTTACATGAAGCTGGCATAGCTGGAGTGACGAAGTAGTGTAATGTACACCGATACCAAGAAGGTATTTATGGGATGTGGGTGTAGATTTTGGGTTCTGGTTAATTCACGCCTGCATCCACATTGTGTAAGTTTTCAACGTTAATAGTAGGACATATCCAGCATGATTGTGCAAACGGTGAACATAGACATGGATGAAAGAAAGTTCGGATTTTCCATTCGTCATGATGCACTATTACAACATAAACAGTTTCAACGCTATTGGATATTTTTTTAAAATCTTATTTATTTTTGAATGGGCAAATAATCAGAAAAATACAATTTAATGATTGTATCATTTGCGCATCATATAATAGAGACACTTCAATCGATTGAAGTACCGATCACCGATTAACAATTTTAATAGGCTTAATATATTCATGGATATCCACAATTGTTGTTAGTGTTATTGAATGGATTTTTTCTGCTGTTAAAAACAGTCGACCTGTGATGAAACCTAAAAATTTTCAATAAAAACAATTAGAAAAGCCTTTATAAAAATATAATTCTCTCAAATTTTGTTTTCTTTTCTTCGGAAATACGCGAGGAACCTAAGATACTAAACAATTCGTTCTCATCTTGAAAAAATTTACTACACTATAGATCAAGTGTACGAATTACGGAGATTGAGGGTAAGCATATGGTGCACAATGAAGCTGTGAGATTTTTGTGATATCCATCGGCTATGAGAGTGATGGTATAGTTTAAAATATTGGTGAGCTAGGAAATCTACTACTACTTTCAACTTTCAACTTTCTTCTCAGTCAAGATTCCAACTTTATCATGTCTCTAGTATAAAGTGATACCAAAGTGCGTTCGTAGCATAGAAAGCAGAAATTATTTAAGATATGTGAAGTCGATTGATTTTGATCGATTACAAGAGGTCGTAGATCTCAGGTTGACATAGTATATTCTTATTTATGGTTTTTCAGTACAAAAGTGCATATGTGGAGTTCTCTGGAATCGATCAATATATATATATCATATTGTGATGAGACTAAAGTGAGCGGAATAGAACGGAGACTGTGATCAGGGTAAGATAAAATAGTTTGACCTGCTAACTGTTTTTAATAAAAAGTCGTTCGAAAAGGTTTTCTAGATGTAAACATGAATCTTATAGAACATGTCTCATCTATGTAATTACGGCAGTTAGCAATGATTCTATATTTTTGATCGACTTCATTAGAACTAACGAATGTGATATTCATTCTGATTGATCATCGTTCCATACAGACTCTTTCGATTGCGAAAAGACTCAAATCCTCTTACCACGTGAAAAGCACATTTAAAAAATGATTAAAAATGAATTTTGACCTACTGCTAAATCATGAGGAAAGCTGCCAGCCCTATTGAACCCTGTAGGGTAAGGCAAAGAATTTGTAACAGCCATTTTCAGGACAGAATTGGGCGAAAAAAGTGCTCTATAATGGTATCCGATATAGATTTCAATGTAATCAGATTGTTAGAATTCTCTAGCATTGTGAAATTCAGTTTTACATTCATCACATATCTCTTTCTTATGTTTTTTTTCTGAAGTATGCAGCTTGATTTAGACAAAAAATAGAATTGTATTGAATTTGAGAATCTTGAGTGTATCTGTTTTCCAATGCTTCAAAATTACTGAATTTCTTTTGGATGATAACATAAAATGAAAAAAAAAGTTATTGTTGAATATGAGGATGGACAGAAATTAGGAACGAATCAAAAGTTCGGATAGCTCTACTTATTAAAATGCACTATTTTTTGTGTAGTTCAATTGATTGTATTAGTATTTAAACCATCTGTGTTTCTCTATTTGCATTTTAAATTTTCATGACGATCTCTGTTTCTTTTTGGCATTGAATTCAATTTTTAGAGACGGAATCATAAATCTCGAACTCGATTCTCGAAACGGCACAATATATTATTCTTTTGTACATTTTTTCGCATTTTCTAATTGCAATATCATTAAAAACATAACAACTCGCTCAAAACGTCCGTACGAAATAAGAATTCGCTATAATTGATTACGTCTATTTTGTATTACGAATATGCAGGCTTCAGTATATGAGGTTGTAGTGCTCTGTAAACCTTGCATGTGATTTTTTATTATTTACATCAGCACATACGACTATAGCACCGAAAAAATGTGTTTTCCGATACTGTTTATTCTAACTATCCATCTTAATTGCCAAGTAGCATCAATATTCTGCTTTGCCGCTTCAAAGTCCACAATGACTTCAAAAAGTAATATAAATATGAATGAACTTTAAAAGCCATCTATCTACAATATCACTCAAGAGACTTAACAACCGATACATCGATGTCGTAAGAATAATTTCAAATGTGCTCCTACTCCTACTAATAATGAATGTGACATGAACATGTCTTGATGAGATTCTAGCTTAATTGACCATTTCTGAGAGTATGCTAACACTAATGATAGTCGCACTTGCTACATTTATATATTTTTTTTTATTTCTGATTCTTCAAAAAAATCGTGTCTTTTCAGTATGCATGTTGGTATTATTGTTGGCCTGCAGCGATCAAACTTCGTTTCGGATGCAATACTGTCCATGTAAACTGTGCGAAGACGATCGGTACGATTTGAAAAATATAAAACCATAATTCGTTTTGACTTGCGAGAACATGATAATTTGGTAACGATACAATAAGAACAAACGTGGCAGCAATCACACAACTGAGATCAGAAATGATCAAAAGAACAATACCTTTTCTTGTCATATCCTTGATGATTCTGATAGCAAACCAGATCGGAAAGAATAGAATAGTTATACAGAGAATAACCACTGCTGCTATTTGTCGCAATCGAAGGCTCATATCAATCTTATTACTATCGTAAGACAATGCGCCGGCTAGAACCGTAAGAAGAGCCGATGCCATGATGCTCAAAAATGCTCCTATGCGAATAGTTCGAGAAAGACATGATCGAGTGCCACGCACTTGAATTATGAATTCGTAATTTCCCAAAATGATCAGACGTTGTCCGACGGTGAGTAATCCTGTCATGATCGTGTAGACAAATCTTGAATTAAGGGTAGCAATAGAAAGTACTGCCCGTAATATAAATTCCAGAATGATGTTCACATGAGAAGCAAGAAGAAACATGATAAGGCGACGTGGTTGAAAATGTGATTGAATAGATTGAATAATCCATCCGATGATAGAGATACCGGTGAGAGAAGCAACGATGCCAGCAGCTACATTGTTTGGTTCATATTCTAGATAAACATAATTGGATAGATTGGCCATAATGCTTCCCACAAAAATACTACAAAATTCTGTTCTAAAAAGTATAAGAATCTTCAAGATACTGGAAAAATTCCCTTTCACAGAACAAAATACTTCTTTTAATCTCCAATATACTAGAATTTCTTATTTTTCAGTATTACGGGCACTCTTATCTCCGGTCGTGCGTCATTTTCTTGAATTTTTTCTTCCTTCCTTCTGTCGTTGTCAGGATATGATTTTAAACCAATGAGAGCATTCATATTGTCATCTTGTCAAAGTATTATAAGACGAGAAGAGAAAACAACACTATGGAAGCGTGTGAAAAGGGAAATACTCTCTTAAAAAGTGTCAACAAGAAACTTCGGTACACTTCCATGACAAAGTAGGCAACAAAATACGTCTACGTCATGTAATATGATACTGAAAAATTTAATAGACAGTTGAATAACAATAGTTAGGAAAAAAATGGGTACCCACAATTTGTCGTAGAGCTAACAAAGAAATGCCTTAAAAAACTAGTTGCAGTTTTCTAACGATGGAAATTACTCGCTTTCATGGAGTATTCTATTTCATTTATGAACTTAGTGTCTTTGAAAAATAAAAGGTTAGTAGTTAACTTTCTAAAGGAGACCACGTCCATCCTGCTCACATATTTGTCTATCAAATTAAAACTCAGATAGGAAATTTTTATGAAATTAATTTCCAACTTTTTTCTATTATCACAAAGAAGACATTCCGCGAAGATCGTTGCTTCTGTTCGTTGGATGTTCACAGAGACAATTAGTCGAGATGACTTGTATGCCAGCATGATGATTCGGATAGCTTTTCTTTTTTCTTTTTTTTTTCTGTTCTCTGATATAACCGTGAAGACTCAGAAGACGAGATGAAGAAATTATCTATATTTTTGAAAGTCGTCATAGAAATTGAGAAAAAACAAAAGAGAAAACTTTTCCGCCTCATGGCATTCTAGCAACACAATTCTTGAGCTAGTTGACTGCATTCTTAACATAGACAAACTCGAAACCTGATACAATGGATTTCTTCGTTCATGATTCTCAGAGCACATTCAAAAGAGATACTTTGTAGATCACTACGTATGAAGAGAACCAAAAGTTTTTCAGCTCTTTCAGAAAAAAGTTGTGTTTTTTCTTTATTATATATCCAAAACTTCTGAAAATTAGACCTATAATATGCTGCATCTATATGAATATTATTCTGAAGTTTCTTA